TATCAGATTGGAGGAGAGAGTATGGAGGAGGTGAACGTATTCAGATATTTGGGAGTGGACGTGTCAGCGGATGGGTCTATGAAAGATGAGGTGAATCATAGAATTGATGAGGAAAAAGAGTGAGTGGTGCACTTAGGAGTCTGTGGAGACAGAGAACTTTGTCCTTGGAGGCAAAGAGGGGAATGTATGAGAGTATAGTTTTACCAACGCTCTTATATGGGTGTGAAGCATGGGTGATGAATGTTGCAGCGAGGAGAAGGCTGGAGGCAGTGGAGATGTCATGTCTGAGGGCAATGTGTGGTGTGAATATAATGCAGAGAATTCGTAGTTTGGAAGTTAGGAGGAGGTGCGGGATTACCAAAACTGTTGTCCAGAGGGCTGAGGAAGGGTTGTTGAGGTGGTTCGGACATGTAGAGAGAATGGAGCGAAACAGAATAACTTCAAGAGTGTATCAGTCTGTAGTGGAAGGAAGGCGGGGTAGGGGTCGGCCTAGGAAGGGTTGGAGGGAGGGGGTTAAAGGAGGTTTTGTGTGCGAGGGGCTTGGACTTCCAGCAGGCATGCGTGAGCGTGTTTGATAGGAGTGAATGGAGACAAATGGTTTTTAATACTTGACGTGCTGTTGGAGTGTGAGCAAAGTAACATTTATGAAGGGATTCAGGGAAACCGGCAGGCCGGACTTGAGTCCTGGAGATGGGAAGTACAGTGCCTGCACTCTGAAGGAGGGGTGTTAATGTTGCAGTTAAAAACTGTAGTGTAAAGCACCCTTCTGGCAAGACAGTGATGGAGTGAATGATGGTGAAAGTTTTTTTTCGGGCCACCCTGCCTTGGTGGAATCGGCCAGTGTGATAATAAAAAAATATATATATATATATATATATATATATTATATATATATATATATATATATATATATATATATATATATATATATATATATATATATGTATTGGAATGATTAAGAGTGTTGAAATTCATTTTAATTTAATTGGCCTGTTACCAGTGTTGTAACACAAGACATAATTCGGGATTACAAAACATCGCTAATATTTATAATCTTTACTATTAAAATTATTTGGCATAAAAATAAGGAGTCCAACTCCTTCTCTTCTCTTTGGTATATATATATCACCTACAAACACTGTTTTTCAATCAAGTACCAATTACAAATTGAACAGTCATGACCCTATAGTATCTAGTATCACATGACACTGCCTTCATGTCACATGACACCACCTATTCTCAGTGTTCATGACACACATTCTCTGTGGTACATCCACAACATTGCCTTTTCTCTGTGTCATAACACTCCGTCATTGTACTTCCTTTCCTCTGTGTCATAATACTCCGTCATTGTACTTCCTTTTCTCTGTGTCATAACACTCCGTCATTGTACTTTCTTTTCTCTGTGTCATAACACTCCGTCATTGTACTTCCTTTTCTCTGTGTCATGAGAGTACAACACTCCGGGATATACACCCTTACGGCCCACAACACTTCTGTCATACACAATTCTCAGTGTGTAGTGACCAAAGAGGCCAGCATAAGCCTGCAAGGAATTGAAGTTAGCAGACTGGGTAAGAAATACCCACACTGATGAGCAGACTGAGTAAGGTCCACACGTAACAGCCAGCAATGAACTGAGGTTAGAAGACTGAGGTCCGTAACAGAAGCCAAAAAGGAACTGACTTCAGCAGACTAAGGTCTGCAGGTAACAGAAGTCAGCGAGGAACTGAATTCAGCAGACTGCGTGAGAGAGACCCACAGGTCACTAAGGTCTGCGAGCAACAGAAGCCTACGAGGAACTGAGAGAGGCCAGCTCCACAGCCACAACATTGGGTGATGACGTACCCAGTGGTACTGCGGGCCAGCAGGTTAACGATCTAACCAACAGTATGCTAGGAGGCCGCAAGATAAACGACACACACCAAGAGAATGATTATTATGCCAAAATTTCCTTGGATTAATCTTATCCCAAACAAATTACTCCTCCCGGACAATCATCCTGGACAGGCCCCCATATTACGACCCAGGTAATCAAGGCCTGTATTCCGGGTGTAAAAAGGCAGCTTGGAACAAAATAAAACAGCAGAAAAACTTTGAATTGTATTATCCTTCACCAAGTATAAACAGAAGTATACACACTATATACACTATGTGCAGCCATGGTAGTCAAGGCAGAGTAGCAGCCAAGAGACAATAGACAACCGTGCTTCATCCAGCAGCAAAATCAAAATGACAAGGGTGAAAACATGAGTGGTAACCATGTCACCTTCACAACTGCCAGATCCACATTATGATTGGCTGAACCTAGGTACTGATCTGATGATGGGGCCCCGATCGTCAGACCCTAGTGCCTGGTTTGCTGGTTCGGGGGACAGCCCATGTGAGAATGTGGACATACTCCAAATAAAGGTTATATACTCTTTGCATGCCACTATATATATATATATATATATATATATATATATATATATATATATATATATATATATATATATATATATATATATATATATATATATATATATATATATATATATATATATATATATATATATATAATATATATATATATATCTGCGGTTCTGGATATCGGCCAATTCGGATTTCGGCCACTTTTTTGGCCGAAATTCTATCCATGATTTTGCCCGTCAACTCAGAAATCAGCCATATTGGCCACGTCTGCCCATCACTCCGCTGCTTCGTGAGTCAGTCTGGCTGCGTCTCTCAGTGAGTGAGAAGACTCCATGCATTCATCCAAACATTTCGTTATAATCCATTGTCTTTTGTGGTTGCTCATTGAATGCAACTGCGTAATAAGCCACCATGGGCCCAAAGAAAGTTCCTAGTGCCAGTCCTTTGGAAAAGTGAGAAACACGATAAAATTCAAGAAAGAATTTGTAGCAAAGTACGAGAGTGGTGTACGGGTGCTGGAGCTTGATAGGATGTATGGGAAATCCAAATTAACAATCACTTCCATCCTGGCGAAGAAATTAGAAATGAGGAAAGCTAATGTTGCAAAAGTGGTAAATATGCTAACGAAACAAAGATCACCAATAAGCAAGGATGTGGAAAAGTTACTGTCGTTGTGGATCAACGATAAACAATTAGCGGGAGATAATGTTTTGGAGTCGATCATTTTTGAAAAGGAAAGGCAGTTGCATGTGGATCTTGTGAATAAAATGCCTGGAACGAGTGCTGCTGTTAGTGAGCTTAAGGCCAGCAAAGGCTGGTTTGAGAGATTTAAGATGCATAGTGGCATACACAGTGTTGTAAGGCATGGCGAGGCTGCAAGTTCAGACGAACGTGCTGCTGAAAAATTTGTGCATGAATTCAAGAAGTACGTAGAGGCTGAAGGATTCCTCCCTCAACATGTGTTCAATTGTGACGAAACAGGCCTCTTTTGGAAGAAAATGCCAAAGAGGACCTACATCACACAGGAGGAAAAGGCACTGCCAGGACACAAGCCTATGAAGGATAGGCATACTCTTTTGTTCAGTGGTAACGCCAGTGGGGATTTCAAAGTGAAGCCTTTACTGGTGCATCACTCTGAAAATCCCAGAGTGTTCAAGAAAAACAATGTCGTCAAAAGTAAATTCTGTGTGTTGTGGAAAGCTAATAATAAGGCATGGGTCACAAGGCAAATTTTCACTGACTGGGATCCTTGAAGTGTTTGGCCCTAGTGTGAAAAAATACCTCCAGGAAAATAAATTGCCACTCACGTGCCTCCTGGTACTGGACAATGCTCCTGCTCATCCACCAAACTTGGTAGACCTATTGTCTGTGGAGTTTTATAACAGTGAAGTTCCTGCCTCCTAACACCACTCCTTTCATTCAGCCATGGATCAGCAGGTCATTTCTCACCTCAAAAACCTCTACATGAAAGCAATGTTTCAAAGGTGCTTTGAAATGAAGTCGGACACCGAATTGACCTTAAGAGAGTTTTGGAGGATTCACTTCATTATCTTCAACTGCATAAGCCTTATAGGTAAGGTTTGGCAGGGAGTAACTTCCAGGACTTTGAACTCTGCTTGGAGAAAATTATGGGCAGAATGTACCCTCGACAAAGATTTTGAAGGGTTTGAGGCTGACCCTGTAGACCCTCTGCCTGTTGTGGAATCTATTGTGCCTTTGGGGAAGTCCATGGAGATGGAGGTGAGTGGCGAGGATTTGAAAGTTTGGTGGAGGACCACAGGGAAGAGGTAACCACCGAAGAGCTGCAAGACCTTCATCTGCAACAGCAACAGACCACAGCTGAGGAAATTGGTTCAGAGGAGGAGGAAAAGAGAGGGAAGGATGTGCCTTCTTCAGCGATTAAGGACATTTGTGCAAAGTGGAATGAGGTGCAAAGTTTTGAGAGGAGATACCACCCGGACCAAGCCGAAACAAGCCATATCTGCAATATGTTCAGTGACAAAACCTTGTCCCACTTCAGGCAAATCTCAGAGACGTTAGAAACAGAGCTCTCTAGACAGTTTTTTTTTTTTGTGTGTGACAGGGGTCCAGTGACCCTCAAGCTGGTCTTAGTGTCAGTAAAAGAAAAAGAAGGGAAGTAACCCCAGAGAGAGCTTTGATACCTAAAGTCCTTATGGAGGGGGATTCCCCTTCCAAACAATAATCAGTCCTCCCTCTCTACTCCTCCCTGGCTTCCATACGCCAACAAGAGTCTTCAATAAAGGTATGTAATTTATATTTATTTATTTATCATTGTTTTCTGTATGTTAAACTACAGTTATTCTTTAAAAATTATTTTTTTGTGTGAATATTTTTGAGTGTCTGAAACGAATTAATTGTATTTACATTAATTCTTAGGGGTTTTCGGCCGACCTTCTGGAACAGATTACGGTCGATAACCGAGAGTCCACTATATATATATATATATATATATATATATATATATATATATATATATATATATATATATATTATATATATATATATATATATATATATATATCGATAGGTTTAACATTCAAGTTACTTACAAAACCTTCACCTACCCAACAATGGGATGCCGATAATGAAAGGATTTTTCGCTCTCTTTAATAAGCTTTTGCATGTACGGCTGAAGTCTGAACATGTACTTGAGGAACTGGCCGAGCCACCAAGCGCCTGGGTTACCATGTAGATGTATCAGTCTCTCAGAGATGTCTCTCGGGATGGCCAGAGGCATGTGTTGTGGTTTTGGTTGTGGCTCTTTGGGCATTGGAAACTCTACCGTCTGCGTGTTATTGTTTCCTGTAAATATGACAAAGATTCTGTGATTTATGAATACATTTTTATGTCAACTACTAGTGTCTTCGAGACTCAAAATTTAAATGAAGTTCGTTAGTAATTTAAAGCTCTAATGTTTTACATAAAAGTTTCCAGAAGAGCACCTTCACTAATGCTTTTGAAAAATTAATGTATAAAAGACCCTAATTATGAGAGTTAAAAAAAGGAACAGGAGAATTCTGAAGCAAAATCTAAAAAATTGCTTAGAATATCATCAACAATTCACACCAACGTATCTCTCTTACCCCATGTAATGTTCCAACCGCCCAGCAACTCACTTCCACCCTTTTCCTTCCTAAAAATATGGTCTAACCATCTCTTTCTCAATCCCACACTGATTAAAATCACTAATATAACCCTTCCGCAACATTCAAAACCCAACTCATATACCTGGGATCAGTGGTCAAGTATGCACTTGCTGTTTACCTGTCTTGCAGCTAAATGTTCTTGGGAAATTTGGATGAATAGTCATAGTTTGTAACATGACTAGCTCTGTAAGCTTATACGTGTGTTGTTGTGTGTTTGATTGGTAACGAAGGAAGTTCTGTTTCGGAATGAAAATAAGAAACTGAATATTTGTTTTGATATGTGCAACAACAAGCAGGAACCGGTCACAAGTAAGAAAAAGGGCAAAAGTGTTAGCAGCAATGACTGGAAAGTGGTTGCGGAAAAATGAAGGACGAGATGCAGGGAAGTTAAGGATGTAGGCTTGAAGAACAGAAATCGCTTTACTAAACTCAAGGGTGAATGTACAGCAGTCAGAGAGGAATGAGGTATAACTAACCCCGCCTCTTCTAATAAATGTAAGGATTTACTCATTGTTTTAGACACCCCCAAATTAGATATATGGAGTGAACATTTTGTAAGAGGGATAGTGAGCGTGACAGTCTGTTATCTCTAAGGTATTTAAGACAGTTGATCATAATAATATATAATATTGTGTAAATGGACGTCAATAAGGCCTCTGATAGACTTCCACAGAGAAGACTGCTGAAGAAAGCAATGGTACACAGCACAGGAGGAGATATTTCCCGGATCTCATCATGGTTGATCAATAGGTAAGAGAGTTTGCATAAATGAGGAGAAATCAAAGGGAAGACTTGTCAGAAGTGATGTTCCTTAATCTGCGGAATCTAGAGGAATAAATAACGACATAAGCAAGTTTGACGATGACATTAAAATAAATTCTGATAAGTATACATGAGAGGTACAGGATTATCTGGAAAAGTTGCGATGTGGTCGAAGTGGCAGATGCAGTTCACTGGACAAAAGAAATAATGGAGCTTATAAACGAAATTTTATAGATCCTAAACAAGTCGAATGCCTAGAAAGACTTACGAAATATAAAGCCAAGACAACAGTGCATAAATGTTTGCAGTAAAGGTAATAGAATTCTTTGCTGCATATTAAGAAGTCCTCACGTTATACTTTAACTTTATATATCCTTGACTAAGGCCTCATTTACTTAGACTGCGCCGATCAGTTCTCTTTTCAATGTTACAGAATAGACATAAATTAACTGGAAAACATACAGAGAAGGATGACGAAGCTGATTCCCCGTATCGGATATCTTTCTTATTTAGGCTGAGGGCACCGTCTTTTTAATACCCTGGGAAGTTGTAGAATTAAGGGATATGTTTGAAATATACAAACTGAAAGCCAAAATAAACAAAGTAGATATAGGTGCTGAAAATACCTCACCAAGACAAGACTCGTAGGATTAAATTTATGATAATTTGTGCAAATTTTGAGTAAAAATTAATCTGAACTAAATATTAAGCTGACACCTAAGCTTAGTGTGCAGGTTAAGCCTATAAAGTGCGACACGCCAGCATTAATACATCTTACCTGGCCACTTAACAACATCTTTATTCGAGACGGTGGTGCATGTGTTGCTTAAAGGAAGGAAGACGGCTTTCCAACCTATAGAGGTGTAACGCCAACCATCAGATTTGAGGATTAAAGTTCGATGGGTGCCATAGGCTGCCATAAAGCAGTAAATAACGTGGTGAATTTCACAACCGAAACCGCAGTTCTGTGGGAAGGTGACACGTCAGTGAAAGGGTTCTGAATAATGAGGCTACATGCTCGTGTGAGGATACAGTTTGGTGAGACTACTCACCGAGTGTATAAATGAGGAACAACTCTAACTCATGGGAGACACAGCACTACATATACTTGTTACAGCTAAAACCATTACAATTTTCATAACTTTTTTTCTGTTTCTTCAACCTCTTGAGGGATGCCTAGTAACTCTGAAAAACTTTGCCCAACAACTCTTCAATTTTAGGATCGTATTACACACACACAAACGCGCACTATACATATATAAATATATATTTATGTATATATATATATATATATATATATATATATATATATATATATATATATATATATATATATATATATATATATATATATATATATATATATATATGCAAAACAACCACTCTGAAATCACCTGTTTACTGTGATCTTATTGCATATATATATATATATATATATATATATATATATATATATATATATATATATATATATATATATTATATATATATATATATATATATATATATACATATAATATATACATATATATATATAAATATATATATATATGTATATATATATATATATATATTATATATATATATATATATATATATATATATATATACATATATATATATACATATATATATATATATAAATATATATATATATGATATATATATATATATAATATATATATATATATATATATATATATATATATATATATATATATACCAGGAAAAGTGTACGGTAGGGCTATTAATGAAAGAATTAGAGGTAAGACAGAATGTAGGATTGCGGATGAGCAGGGAGGCTTCAGAGTGGGTAGGGGATGTGTAGATCAAGTGTTTACATTGAAACATATATGTGAACAGTATTTAGATAAAGGTAGGGAAGTTTTCATTGCATTTATGGATTTAGTAAAGGTGGAGTGGATAGGGGAGCAATGTGGCAGATGTTGCAAGTATATGGAAGAGGTAGTAAGTTACTAAATGCTGTAAAGAGTTTTTTGTGGACAGTGAGGTTCAGGTTAGGGTGTGTAGAAGAGAGGGAGACTACTTCCATGAAAAAATTGGTCTTTGACAGGGATGTGTAATGTCACCATGGTTGTTTAATATATTTATAGATGGGGTTGTAAAAGAAGTAAATGCTAGGGTGTTCGGGAGAGGGGTGGAATTAAATTTTGGGGAATTAAATACAAAATGGGAATTGACACAATTACTTTTTGCTGATGATACTGTGTTTATGGGAGATTCTAAAGAAAAATAGCAATGGTTAGTGGACGAGTTTGAGAGAGTGTGTAAAGGTAGAAAGTTGAAAGTGAACATAGAAAATAATAAGGTGATGAGCGTGTCAAATGATTTAGATAGAGAAAAATTGTATATCAAATTGGAGAGGAGTATGGAAGAAGTGAATGTTTTCTGATATTTGGGAGTTGAAGTGTCAGCGGATGGATCTATAAAGGATGAAGTTAACCATAGAATTGATGAAGGAAAAAAGGTGAGTGGTGTGTTGAGGTATATGTGGAGACAAAAAACGTTATCTATGGAGGCAAAGAAGGGTATGTATGAAAGTACAGTAGTACCAACACTCTTATATGGGTGTGAAGCTTGGGTTGCGAACGCAGCAGCGAGGTGGCGGTTGGAGGCAGTGGAGATGTCGTGTCTAAGGGCAATGTGTGGTGTAAATATTATGCAGAAAATTCGGAGTGTGGAAATTAGGAGAAGGTGTGGAGTTAATAAAAGTATTAGTCAGAGGGCTGAAGAGAAATTGTTGAGGTGGTTTGCTAATTTTGAGAGAATGGATCAAAATAGAATGACATGGAGAGCGTATAAATCTGTAGGAGAAGGAAAAGTTTGGAGGGAGGGGGTAAAGGAGGTTTTGTGGGCGAGGGGCTTGGACTTCCAGAAAGCATGCGTGAGCGTGTTAGATAGGAGTGAATGGAGATGAATGGCATTTGGGACTTGACGAGCTGTTGGAGTGTGAGCAGGGTAACATTTAGTGAAGGGATTCAGGGAAACCGGTTATTTTTATATAGCAGGACTCGAGTCCTGGAAATGGGATACAACAGTTCAGATGTCACTCCAAACAGCAAATATCCCAAACCCCTCCTTTAAAGTACGGGCATTGTACCTACCACTTCCAAGACTTATGTCCGGCTTTTAGTAACTCCACAGCTCCTCCTAATTTCTACACTACGAATCCTCTGCATAATATTTACACCACACATTGTTGTTAGACACAACATCTCCATTGCCTCCAGCCTTCTTCTTGCCGTAGCATTTACAATTCATGCATCACATCCATATAAAAATGTTGGTATCCCTATACACTCATACATTCCCTTCCTTGCCCTCATGGACAACGTTCCTTGTTTCCACAGATACCTCAATACTCCACCCACCCTTTTCCCTTCATCAGTTCTATGGTTTACCTCGTTCTTCATAAACCCATCCGCTGACAAGTCTACTCACTTTTTCCTTACTCCCTCTTTCCAATGTGGTATTCAGTTTTTCTTTATCTAACTCCTTTGATAATCTTATCACCTTAATCTTATCTATGTTCACTTTTAACTTTCTACCTTTACACACCCTCCCAAACTCGTCCACTAACTTTTGCAACTTCTCTTTAGAATCTCTCAAAATCACACTATCATCAGCAACAAGTAATTCTGTCAACTCCAATTTTGCATTTAATTCCCTATAATTTAATCCCACCACGTTAACCAACACCCTAGCATTTCTTTTACAGCCCCAGCTATAAATATATTAAACAACCATGGTGACATTCCACATCCCTGTCTAAGCTCTACTTTTACAGGGAAGCAATCTCCCTCTCTCCTACACACCCTAACCTGAGCCTCATTATCCTCATAAAAACTTTACAGCATTTAGTAACTTACCACCTATTCCTTCCATACACGTGCAATGATATATATATATATATATATATATATATATATATATATATATATATATATATATATATATATATATATATATATATATATATATATATATATATATGCAAAACAATTGCAAACAAGCCACGGGGGTGGAAATCTTTAGCTCAAGTACCTTCACACTTCTCAGTGCGTCATCAGGAGCTCCGCAATGTTGCAAGGGCAGCAACATGAGAAAAAGGGTAAGTTTTTCAGAGTATGGTAGCACGGTGGCATCAGCCTCTGGGCGAGGGAAGCAGAATGCCAACCACAAACCGGTCCCCCCCCCCCCTCCCCATATGGGGCGGGCTGGAGTAGGCTCCACAGTTTGCAGATAGCATGAGGTAAAATAACTAGGAGAATGTTAATAGCCAGCCTTCAGCTTCTAAATACTGAGAACAGGTCATGTGACGGAAGAAGTTACATTACAATAGTGGATCATTTACATACAGAATGCAGCTAATGTGAACAACATTCTAACTAATGAAATAGAAGAAATAAATCTCATTTTATTAACCGGTAATACTTGATGTTGCAGAACGTTCTAGAATATTCAGGAAATACTCTCTGCGTCAGTTAACATGTCTGTGTGAATTCTCATATTCAGGCTTGTCTTTCTTATACTAGGCAATTCCTGATTTTTTACCCTTTTAACCCCATTACTATAATTATTATCCACTGTTATTCGCTACTCATTATAATTATCATTATCATTATAACGATAATCATAATGATAGTAAACCGCTAAGCTAATTGCAATCACCATGTTGCAATCAACTATGTGTACCTTGTGTACCTTGTACCACCGTTCCTAGACGGGTTAGGGCCTCAACAGGTCACTGCATTTCTTTTGGGCTATCCTAGGATGATCGCACATGTGCACTCCTACCTAAATGATCCCCCATGACTACTTCCTTACTACTGATGTCATATCGTTCAGGTTGCAGTCTGTATTGCAGCACACCACATAAACCGCCTGTAGCATTACGATACCTGTATGCA